TGAAGGAGCCATTTCCGACCCTATAAATCATATATATTCTGATCAGCATTAACAGGCGAATCGTTCTGGCCACCTCAGGTAGCAAAACAGACATTTCCAAATTTTTGAAAAAAATTCAAGGGGTTACATCGCAAAAATCTAAAAAAATATTCGATCTCCTAAAAATTAAATTTAGTATGCAGATTTGTTAAGCGCCAAACAACTAACACAGGAACGCTTTCCGAATTGAAATTAATGCATTTTTGACAAAGTTATGCGATTTTAAAGCTTTGGCTGTCCCAAAAAATGGGATGTAAAAAATCGTGTTATCAAATAAAAATTGCAATTTCAAGAATCTTGCAGAGGAAAATATAATTTTAATTAATGAAGGAGCCATTTCCGACCCTATAAATCATATATATTCTTGATCAGCATTAACAGGCGAATCGTTCTGGCCACCTCAGGTAGCAAAACAGACATTTCCAAATTTTTGAAAAAAATTCAAGGGGTTACATCGCAAAAATCTAAAAAAATATTCGATCTCCTAAAAATTAAATTTAGTATGCAGATTTGTTAAGCGCCAAACAACTAACACAGGAACGCTTTCCGAATTGAAATTAATGCATTTTTGACAAAGTTATGCGATTTTAAAGCTTTGGCTGTCCCAAAAAATGGGATGTAAAAAAAAATCGTGTTATCAAATAAAAATTGCAATTTCAAGAATCTTGCAGAGGAAAATATAATTTTAATTAATGAAGGAGCCATTTCCGACCCTATAAATCATATATATTCTTGATCAGCATTAACAGGCGAATCGTTCTGGCCACCTCAGGTAGCAAAACAGACATTTCCAATTTTTGAAAAAAATTCAAGGGGTTACATCGCAAAAATCTAAAAAAAAATTCGATCTCCTAAAAAATTAAATTAGTATGCATATTTGTTAAGGCAAACAACTAACACAGGAACGCTTTCCGAATCGAAATTATGCATTTTTAACAAAGTTATGCGATTTTAAAGCTTTGGCTGTCCCAAAAAATGGGATGTAAAAAATCGTGTTATCAAATAAAAATTGCAATTTCAAGAATCTTGCAGAGGAAAATATAATTTTAGTTAATGAAGGAGCCATTTCCGACCCTATAAATCATATATATTCTAGATCAGCATTAACAGGCGAATCGTTCTGGCCACCTCAGGTAGCAAAACAGACATTTCCAAATTTTTGAAAAAAATTCAAGGGGTTACATCGCAAAAATCTAAAAAAATATTCGATCTCCTAAAAAATTAAATTTAGTATGCAGATTTATTAAGTGCCAAACAACTAACACAGGAACGCTTTCCGAATTGAAATTAATGCATTTTTGACAAAGGTATGCGATTTTAAAGCTTTGGCTGTCCCAAAAAGTGGGATGTAAAAAATCGTGTTATCAAATAAAAATTGCAATTTCAAGAATCTTGCAGAGGAAAATATAATTTTAATTAATGAAGGAGCCATTTCCGACCCTATAAATCATATATATTCTTGATCAGCATTAACAGGCGAATCGTTCTGGCCACCTCAGGTAGCAAAACAGACATTTCCAAATTTTTGAAAAAAATTCAAGGGGTTACATCGCAAAAATCTAAAAAAATATTCGGTCTCCTAAAAATTAAATTTAGTATGCAGATTTGTTAAGCGCCAAACAACTAACACAGGAACGCTTTCCGAATTGAAATTAATGCATTTTTGACAAAGTTATGCGATTTTAAAGCTTTGGCTGTCCCAAAAAAATTGGATGTAACAAAATCGTGTTATCGAATAAAAATTGCAATTTCAAGAATCTTGCAGAGATTCCTAAACAATTAAATTTAGTATGCAGATTTATTATGTGCCAAACAACTAACACAGGAACGCTTTCCGAATTGAAATTAATGCATTTTGACAAAGGTATGCGATTTTAAAGCTTTGGCTGTCCCAAAAAGTGGGATGTAAAAATCGTGTTATCAAATAAAAATTGCAATTTCAAGAATCTTGCAGAGGAAAATATAATTTTAATTAATGAAGGAGCCATTTCCGACCCTATAAATCATATATATTCTTGATCAGCATTAACAGGCGAATCGTTCTGGCCACCTCAGGTAGCAAAACAGACATTTCCAAATTTTTGAAAAAATTCAAGGGGTTACATCGCAAAAATCTAAAAAAATATTCGGTCTCCTAAAAAATTAAATTTAGTATGCAGATTTGTTAAGCGCCAAACAACTAACACAGGAACGCTTTCCGAATTGAAATTAATGCATTTTTGACAAAGTTATGCGATTTTAAAGCTTTGGCTGTCCCAAAAAAATTGGATGTAACAAAATCGTGTTATCGAATAAAAATTGCAATTTCAAGAATCTTGCAGAGATTCCTAAACAATTAAATTTAGTATGCAGATTTATTATGTGCCAAACAACTAACACAGGAACGCTTTCCGAATTGAAATTAATACATTTTTGACAAAGTTATGCGATTTTAAAGCTTTGGCTGTCCCAAAAAAATTGGATGTAACAAAATCGTGTTATCAAATAAAAATTGCAATTTCAAGAATCTTGCAGAGGAAAATATAATTTTAATTAATGAAGGAGCCATTTCCGACCCTATAAATCATATATATTCTTGATCAGCATTAACAGGCGAAACGTTCTGGCCACCCCAGGTAGCAAAACAGACATTTCCATATTTTTGAAAAAAATTCAAGGGGTTACATCGCAAAAATCTAAAAAAAATTCGATCTCCTAAAAAATTAAATGTAGTATGCATATTTGTTAAGGTTCAAACAACTAACACAGGAACGCTTTCCGAATTGAAATTAATGCATTTTTGACAAAGTTATGCGATTTTAAAGCTTTGGCTGTCCCAAAAAAATTGGATGTAACAAAATCGTGTTATCGAATAAAAATTGCAATTTCAAGAATCTTGCAGAGATTCCTAAACAATTAAATTTAGTATGCAGATTTATTATGTGCCAAACAACTAACACAGGAACGCTTTCCGAATTGAAATTAATACATTTTTGACAAAGTTATGCGATTTTAAAGCTTTGGCTGTCCCAAAAAGTGGGATGTAAAAAATCGTGTTATCAAATAAAAATTGCAATTTCAAGAATCTTGCAGAGGAAAATATAATTTTAATTAATGAAGGAGCCATTTCCGACCCTATAAATCATATATATTCTTGATCAGCATTAACAGGCGAATCGTTCTGGCCACCTCAGGTAGCAAAACAGACATTTCCAAATTTTTGAAAAAAATTCAAGGGGTTACATCGCAAAAATCTAAAAAAATATTCGGTCTCCTAAAAAATTAAATTTAGTATGCAGATTTGTTAAGCGCCAAACAACTAACACAGGAACGCTTTCCGAATTGAAATTAATGCATTTTTGACAAAGTTATGCGATTTTAAAGCTTTGGCTGTCCCAAAAAAATTGGATGTAACAAAATCGTGTTATCGAATAAAAATTGCAATTTCAAGAATCTTGCAGAGATTCCTAAACAATTAAATTTAGTATGCAGATTTATTATGTGCCAAACAACTAACACAGGAACGCTTTCCGAATTGAAATTAATACATTTTTGACAAAGTTATGCGATTTTAAAGCTTTGGCTGTCCCAAAAAAATTGGATGTAACAAAATCGTGTTATCAAATAAAAATTGCAATTTCAAGAATCTTGCAGAGGAAAATATAATTTTAATTAATGAAGGAGCCATTTCCGACCCTATAAATCATATATATTCTTGATCAGCATTAACAGGCGAAACGTTCTGGCCACCTCAGGTAGCAAAACAGACATTTCCATATTTTTGAAAAAAATTCAAGGGGTTACATCGCAAAAATCTAAAAAATATATTCGATCTCCTAAAAAATTAAATGTAGTATGCATATTTGTTAAGGTTCAAACAACTAACACAGGAACGCTTTCCGAATCGAAATTAGTGCATTTTTAACAAAGCTATGCGATTTTAAAGCTTTGGCTGTCCCAAAAAGTGGGATGTAAAAAATCGTGTTATCAAATAAAAATTGCAATTTCAAGAATCTTGCAGAGGAAAATATAATTTTAGTTAATGAAGGAGCCATTTCCGACCCTATAAATCATATATATTCTAGATCAGCATTAACAGGCGAATCGTTCTGGCCACCTCAGGTAGCAAAACAGACATTTCCAAATTTTTGAAAAAAATTCAAGGGGTTACATCGCAAAAATCTAAAAAAATATTCGATCTCCTAAAAAATTAAATTTAGTATGCAGATTTATTAAGTGCCAAACAACTAACACAGGAACGCTTTCCGAATTGAAATTAATGCATTTTTGACAAAGGTATGCGATTTTAAAGCTTTGGCTGTCCCAAAAAGTGGGATGTAAAAAATCGTGTTATCAAATAAAAATTGCAATTTCAAGAATCTTGCAGAGGAAAATATAATTTTAATTAATGAAGGAGCCATTTCCGACCCTATAAATCATATATATTCTTGATCAGCATTAACAGGCGAATCGTTCTGGCCACCTCAGGTAGCAAAACAGACATTTCCAAATTTTTGAAAAAAATTCAAGGGGTTACATCGCAAAAATCTAAAAAAAAATATTCGATCTCCTAAAAAATTAAATTTATTATGTTAAGCGCTAAACAACTAACACAGGAACGCTTTCCGAATTGAAATTAATGCATTTTTGACAAAGTTATGCGATTTTAAAGCTTTAGCTGTCCCAAAAAATGGGATGTAAAAAATCGTGTTAAAAAAAATTATCAAATAACTTGTTTGGCGGTTAACAAATCTGCATACTTAATATAAAATTTAAAAAAGTTCAAATTTTTTTCCGATTTTTTTACATTTTAACGATGTGGCCCCTTAAAAAAAAAAATGAAAATTGGTTTTGCCAATTGAGATGGCCAGAAAGATTCGCCTGTTAATGCTGATCAAGAATATACCCTTGCAGTTTATAATAGAATTATTAAATAGTAACTTAAATAATAATTAAATGTTTTTTTCACGGTTAAGACTTACCGAAATAGAGGGCGCATGATTAGCCTTTTCCATCCGTGCTTAGTTACCTCCGGTGTAGAGTTATATTTACGGTGACTTTAATCAGGCTTCTTAAGCTGCTTCCTCGTTATCCAGATCCAGGTGATATTTTTTGAGTCCAGGGGAATTCACTATCACTGCTAGATCACTACCACTTGAGATGTTAACAGCGGGGAAGCCGCGAACAGACTGAGGGCAGCGCGCCATCAGTGTCTCTATTTATAGTCCCCGAGTAAAGAGAACTGTGAAAGTGAGAGCTAGAGAGAGAGAGAGAGCGCGCTATCACTAGAGAGGCAGAGGGAGTTATATTTACGGTGACTTTAATTAGGCTACTTACGGTATGACGCAGTTAGCTGCTTCCTCGTTATCCAGATCCAAATGATATTTTTTGAGTCCAGGGGAATTCACTACCACTTGAGATGTTAACAGCGGGGAGGCCGCGAAAAGACTGAGGGCAGCGCGCCATCAGTGTCTCTATTTATAGTCCCCGAGTAAAGAGAACTGTGAAAGTGAGAGCTAGAGAGAGAGAGAGAGCGCGCTATCACTAGAGAGGCAGAGGGAGTTATATTTACGGTGACTTTAATTAGGCTTCTTACGGTATGACGTAGTTAGCTGCTTCCTCGTTATCCAGATCCAAATGATATTTTTTGAGTCCAGGGGAATTCACTACCACTTGAGATGTTAACAGCGGGGAGGCCGCGAAAAGACTGAGGGCAGCGCGCCATCAGTGTCTCTATTTATAGTCCCCGAGTAAAGAGAACTGTGAAAGTGAGAGCTAGAGAGAGAGAGAGAGAGCGCGCTATCACTAGAGAGGCAGAGGGAGTTATATTTACGGTGACTTTAATTAGGCTACTTACGGTATGACGTAGTTAGCTGCTTCCTCGTTATCCAGATCCAAATGATATTTTTTTGAGTCCAGGGGAATTCACTATCACTGCTAGATCACTACCACTTGAGATGTTAACAGCGGGGAAGCCGCGAACAGACTGAGGGCAGCGCGCCATCAGTGTCTCTATTTATAGTCCCCGAGTAAAGAGAACTGTGAAAGTGAGAGCTAGAGAGAGAGAGAGAGCGCGCTATCACTAGAGAGGCAGAGGGAGTTATATTTACGGTGACTTTAATTAGGCTACTTACGGTATGACGCAGTTAGCTGCTTCCTCGTTATCCAGATCCAAATGATATTTTTTGAGTCCAGGGGAATTCACTACCACTTGAGATGTTAACAGCGGGGAGGCCGCGAAAAGACTGAGGGCAGCGCGCCATCAGTGTCTCTATTTATAGTCCCCGAGTAAAGAGAACTGTGAAAGTGAGAGCTAGAGAGAGAGAGAGAGCGCGCTATCACTAGAGAGGCAGAGGGAGTTATATTTACGGTGACTTTAATTAGGCTTCTTACGGTATGACGTAGTTAGCTGCTTCCTCGTTATCCAGATCCAAATGATATTTTTTTGAGTCCAGGGGAATTCACTATCACTGCTAGATCACTACCACTTGAGATGTTAACAGCGGGGAGGCCGCGAACAGACTGAGGGCAGCGCGCCATCAGTGTCTCTATTTATAGTCCCCGAGTAAAGAGAACTGTGAAAGTGAGAGCTAGAGAGAGAGAGCGCGCTATCACTAGAGAGGCAGAGGGAGTTAGAGAATAGGAGAGTAGGAAAACATTGTGATGCAGGGAGATGGAGTTAGAGAGAGTGTGAGAAAGAGGTAAATTTAATTAAATTAATACATTGCTCTGCAAGGCTATAAATATGATTTATGAATAATAAATGATTTATTAATCATAAATTTTTTAAATTAATTTCTAGTATCTATTGGAGGAATTACTGGCCTTTTGTGGGTGCAAGTCTGCTCATTTTTGTGGAAATCTTTTACTACATCACTATTCGTCCTTATAGCACTTATATTCAAGAGAAAAATTGCTTGAAACGTTTGATGTTACCCAAAAGATTTTACTGAGAAAATAAATTCATATGTGAAATATTTTACTAATTTAAGACAAAAGTTTCAAATGTTTAACTCTTAAAAGATATAGGTTTAAGCACTTTTAAAGTTTAAAAAATGTTTAAATGATCAATTATTGTAGTTAAATTTAAATTCTACTCACTAGCAATAATAAATAATATAGAATAACTAAGATAAATAATTATAATGTTTGACATTGTTTTATTTTATTCCTATAATTTTAAGCCTAATAATAAATATAATAAATAATATTTATCACCTATATGTAGAGTCATTGTTTAATTAAGTTCTGTTCGCCAGCAGCACAAAGCCTCCTCTTTTTCGATATTTTTCTAGTTAGACAACGATGTTTCATCAATAAACATTAATTAATTCAACATATAATTTCAGTCAGAAGTTTGCAACGCACTGAAGGAGGCACCTTCGACCATATAAAGTATATATATTCTTGATCAGGATCAACAGCCGAGTCGCGCTAGTCCGTCCGTCTGTCCGTTTCTACGCAAACTAGTCTCTCAGTTTTAAAGCTATCTAAATGAAATCTTTGTAGTTAGACTTCTATACACTCTCACTCGTATATATGTCGGAACGGGCCGGATCGGACTACTATATCATATAGCTGAAATAGGAATGATCGGAGAATTTTTACAAAAAAATTATAACATTTTCAGATTTCAACAGATTTTCATCAAATTTAAGATATAGCCATTTTATATTTCTCTACAATTTTATGTAAAATTTTATGAAAATCGGACGACTATCATATAGATCCCATAGGGTTGATCGAGAAATTAATACAATTAAAAATTATAACATTTTCAGTTTTCAACAGATTTTCATCAAATTTGAGATATAGCCATTTTATATTAGTTTTACATTTTTAATTAAAATAAATATATATAATTTATATTGTAGTCATTGAAGTTTTATCTGCAAGGGTATATAAACTTCGGCGTACCAAACTTAGATTCCTTTCTTTTTTAAATATTTTTATGGACAATCAAAGTTTAAAGATCGCATAACTTTGTCAAAAATGCATTAATTTCAATTCGGAAACCGTTTATGTGCAAGTTCTTTTACGGTTAACAAATCTGCATACTAAATTTAATATTTCTAAAAAGGTCACATTTTTTTCTGATTTTTTAACATTACCTTCTTTGCAAAAAATTGAAAAATTTTGTTTTGCTAATTGAGATGGCCAGGAAGATTTGCCTGTTAATGCTGATCACGAATATATATGATTTATAGGGTTTCCTTTACTTAGTTTCAAGCGTTTGACTGAAAATGTAATACCTTGCAGGGGCATAATAAAGTAAGTATTTTATATTTAATTAATGCATATCATATTTAGTAGGAGAAGCCCCTTTATAATCACGATCATAACTTTTGACAGAAAACTGCTGATGGGCAAGAAGATTTCCTTCCACCGAAAAAAAGTTACCCGACTTGGCAAAATTCTACTCGAGGCGGCACTCAAAGTGCGTAGCATTTCCGTCCTCACCTGTCTTCTCACCTGTGGACCCTCTCCGCCTGTCTGCACTTCATGTCTGCCACACACCACACACTCTCTGGCAGTGGAAGCCTCAATACCCGCCCCTCTATCAACTTGGGCAACAAACATTTTGTTGCCTTTTGTTGCACAGAAAGAATAGGATGAAAAGTGTAAGGAATTTCTAACAAACAAAGCATGTTTATCAATTTTGTTATATTATTAAGTTTTATTATTAATATCTGTTTCAGTTGCATTGATTTTCTATTCAGGATTTTGTAAACAAGACAATTCACATAAATAAAATAAAATTGCAAGTTTTATGAATATTTTGCTGAACTAAAATCATTTGGAAAAAGTTAGAAATCTGACTATATTTCTGCAATTTCTTTGAATAAGTTGACCCTTCAATAAATGATAGAGAAACACCAAACTTAAACCAGAAATAAATCGATTTAAATTCCGATTGCATGAAATGATATGAGAAAACCCAAACTTAAAGGAGAAATAAATCGATTTAAATTCCGATTGCATCTTTTAAAATCCCTTCTTCTTTGGACTGCGACCATTTGGAGAAGCTTAGCAGTTGATGGCTAATTTTCTTTCAGTGCACGTGTGTGTGTGTGTGTGTGGCTTTTGCTAGTGTTGGTAGTGGTGTGGCTGCTTCACTGCAACAATATATTATGCGCTAAGCTCCTCAACTATGCAGCTAAGCGGGGGTGAGGGAGGATAGCCAGTCGGCCGGGTGGCCATTTGGCTTTGGCTCTGGTTAACCGACTACCGTTTTGTAATTTATTTAAGTAATAAAATAAATATATGTACGTTATACGAGCACTACACACCTGCCCTGTCCTGTCCTGTCCTGCTCCTGCTCCGGCTCCGGCTCCGGAGGACCTGAAGAGTTCCGCAGAAAGGCGGCGCACATGCAGCACTGCATCGGAATGCGGCATGGATGTGGATGTGGATGTGGACGTGGACCTAAATGTGGATGTGGATGCGTTAGTGGGTTTGTTGTCAAGCGAAAGTGCGCTTCAAGTGCACGAAGCACCCACTTACCCAAAGTGAATTTAGTGTCAAGTGCAGGAAAATGTGAAAAGCAGCTGCGAGTTAGTTTTTCATATTTAAGCAGCACTTCAGCCCAGCAGAAGCAGCAGCAGCAACAGCAACAACGCGGCACCGGCACATACTGCCCCGCACAGTGGGGTATGTTTTTAAGCCTGAAAATTACAGTTTAAGCTAAGAAATTAATATTAAACAAACATATCGAGGGGGAATATCTGTGTAAATGGGAAGGAAAAGGAAGCAAAAATTGTGTGCTTTTAATCACTTTGAATAGATTTTAAGCGAGCAAATTTATTAAATAATAGATCCAATATATTTTAGCAAAGCTATTCAGGTTCTTAAGCTGAACTTCTATGTATATATCTATCTATATATCCATTTTCATATCCCTAAGACTATTGTAGTTTATCCAATGCTTTTCCTGATTAATGATCTGATCTATGAGAAAGTATCAAATGTTGTGTAAGAGTAGCTCTTATTATTCCTCTCCTTGACCTTATTATTGAATAATTAAATGCATATTCCCTATCAGACGTGGACTACTGTGCCAGTGCACCTGTAAAGACAGAGAGAGAGCGAGAGTGGGTCGCGGATCAAGGACCAGGACCAGGTCTGGCTTGGATTTCAGCTGGCGGATCCTTCAGGGCGAAACAATGACTGTGCCGCCATTTAGAAGCCTTTCGTCCTCCCCTCCCAGGACTATGCGGGACGGATGTCGTTGACTTTTCAAGTCGCATTAGAAGCGACACGGCGGCGTCGCCTTCGCTCGCAGTGGGCGCAGTTTCGGGCGAATGCAGGGAGGGGGAGGGATGGGGAGGTTGCTGAAGGGTGGCCTTGTGGGTGGGGCTTAAGTGTGGTGCCGCCTCGCGGTGGGGCATAAAAATACATGTAAGAGGCTTTCAGCTTATTGTTTGGCACTGTCGCGCTTTTATGATTGCACGCAGCTCGGTCCTTGGTGCTCTTCGCTCCATCTCGGTGCCTTATATCTTGTCTCGGCTTAATTTTATTGATATTACACGTACTTGAAGTCGACGACCAGGTCGAAAACAGGCGCCGTCTCAGCCTCCCAACCTGCCTGTGCATTTCCTCCACTCACATTCGAAGCATTTGGCTATTAATTTTTACGACTTACGACTTACGACTTGAGGCTTACGACGGTAAATGTGAGTTGATCAATTTTTCATATCTATTGGCACTTATGTACTTGCCTCCGATATACATATGTACAAATGTATGTCTTAAATGTATATTTATGATACGGTCTTTTTGAGCAAATCCAATTACGGCTTCATAATCAAGAATCAAGACCTGCAAAGCTGTTTTCACTTCGTTTACTTTTGGATTCGTTATAAAATATCATTTTATTTGTTCATACATGTGTATATTGAAATGTTGTCTTAAATTACAGTTTACACCTTAAGCTAATTACATCATGCTTACATTGTTTGTCTTGGAACATGATGTAACATCATCAACATCAGTTGCATGTTTCGTACCCAACCGAAAGCTTTTCGTTTTGATGGATCGTTCCAAAATTTGGGGGATCACTTTTTATAATGTTGAAACGAAGAAAACGAAACAGAAATGCAAAGAGGCACTTTACTAACAAAATTAAAAAATGCAACATTCTCAAACTTAATTTTTGATAGCAACTAAGGCAATTAATGCAAAAGATGATTGTGTTTTAAGTTGAATTATTATTCTACGTTCTTTCCAACTTGTTTAAAATTGTTTTTGATATTAATTGCAAATTAAATAAATTCTTTCAATACTATACTGATTAGTATAATACTGTACTAAATAGTGAACTAAATACTATATTAAATTCTATAAAAAATTTTGTAATAAATACAAAACCAAATATTATTTTAAATGTTATATAAATATTTTAAAGTGTGAACACTTCAAAAATACACAAATGCTTCATACTCCAACATTCCAAAAAAATTTTTTTTTTTTTTATTTTAATTGATGAACGAACTGGTACTGCTAGTTATCGATAATTATTCCATATATGCCATATATGTATGCCATATTTGCCATATATGTATGTATGCCAAATATATATTATATT